TATATATATATATATATATATACTGCATATATATGTATATACAGTATATATTTAAACAATATATATATACTGTATTATATACCTTAGATACAAAATTGTTTTCCTGAAGAGCGAGAAAATTAATGGTATTAAGCAGGCGACTCTCATCTACGGGCCACTCGGGCACCATTCAAGTCATACAAACAAATGTTTCTTGATAAGTAATTCAAAGCCGACACACCCATGGAATACCGTAGCTAAAAATTCAGAAAACAGGTTGACAAGCTTTAGCAGAGCATATTCGATGGTGCGGTCAGTTCATGGTCAGATTCAGCTTGTGAACAACGGAAAATACCGGACACGCTGCCTCTTCTTTCGGAGCGGCAGGAGTTGCGGCTGCTCCACCGATGTTCAAGGCACTGAAATCCGGAATCACTGGCGATACTTCCGGGCTCGGTTTAACTTCCGGAACCGGCATCGAAAGAATTTCAGGAACGACCGTGGGAATTAGAGGTTTTTGCAGTTCAGCGGCAACGCCGGATTGCGTTGACAGAGTCGTGGAAGCGGTGGCATTTGCATTTGGAGAATGCAGCCAGCTGACGGGGCTCGCACCAGGAGTTAATCCAGGCGCTTGAAACTAAAATAAAATACCCGTACAGCGGTTCTTCATAAAAACAAAAAAAACGTGCCTCGTACAATTAGTAATCCGCATGTCGAACCAACTTTTGTCTCTATCAACAAATAATATATAGAACCGCACCAACAACGAGACGGCGCTTCTCAAAAAAATGCAGAATAAGAATGGCCCGGAACTAAAAACCGGACGGCTGCGAATTTATAAGAAAAGTATTTTAATTTTCTCGATTCCACGTTTGATCAAATGTATGATGATGTTTCAAGGTTTGCTCTTTTGTCCTCTCCTTTCACCCATCACGTGAAGTTCCAGAGAAAATATTTTCATGATTCATTCTTAGTGCTGTTACCTATTTTCCGCAACAACAAAGGATGGCCAGAATAACCTGCTTCGAAATTATGAAAATCTCGTGAAAACTTTGACACAAGTTTAAAATTTTCATCATAGTCATATTGGTTTTTTACGCTTCGTTGCATGCACGAAAATCTTGAGGGCTGTTTCCACAACTAAAAAACAGGTTCAGCAGATTTCTGCCGGGGAATCACCGACAGAAATACGTTACCCAAGATTATCCCGGTTTTTCTCAAATTTTGTGTTGGTCACGAAGTAAAATGAACATAAAATTGGGTACGATCACGCGATTCATGGAAATATTTGTAACCCAAAATTCTCACGTTTGGAAGGCCGAAGGCACCTTGGTAACGCGGAATGGGTCTCGCCAAACCGGAACCAACAAAACCACTTGGGACACCAGGTCGAGAGAGCAATCGCGGATCCGTGGAGCTTCTAGTCGGAGAAGATATCTTGAACACCAAGCAAGAAGATAGTGTTCATTCGACTAATTCAAGGGTAAATACAATATGGCCGAAGGTATTAATGAATGGACGATTAACTCATGCTTCCTCACCAAATTCGGTCGTCCAACAAACGCATTAACTGGAGAGTTGATTGACGCGGTTGATAAGACATACGGACTGGCTGAACCGCCAGTTGGCATTCCTCCAAGTGATCCAGCTGGCGAAAGACCCCAATTGACTGGATGCGGGCTCTGATGAAATACAAACAGCGTCAAATCATCATTACCATCTCGCGTAATAACTGGATGAACACGAGAGGAAATTTAATTCCAATGACAGCGGATGATTCAAGACAACAAATAATTACCCGAACAACAGAGAGTCTATGCAACTCCGCAAAAAATTGCTGATCATGCGGACTGACAAGGCCTCTTCGATCCAGCTCAGACGAACCAGGCAAGGAAATTTCTGCAATTCGAAATTCTTGATCTTAGTTCTTTGATGCTTCAAAATCTTCCTGAGTAGATTTAAAATTCTCACGCCTAGTTCTTCGATCTTGCATTGCACTGAAATCACGAAGCTCTTCGTAGACAGCTACCATAGATGGTCTGTCAACTTTCTTCCGCGAAGCACATTGCAAACCAAGCTTCAGAAGTTTGAACAATCGATCCCTGCCTTCAGGGCGAACAGTTTTGTCAAGCACGTCTGGAGGAACGACTCGTTGTTCTCCGATTCGCTGTTCAACCCAGTCTCGCTACGAAATTACAATATTCTGAACTGTGACCAATATCCAGAATCAACGCAGTTTTTCTTTTCATTTTTAAAATAAAGATGATAAATAGAAAATGGTTCATTATTATTAATACTCACGAGAAGTCTTCTGTCATCCCAAGCTCGCCTTCCAGTACTCAACTCCAACAAAACCTGAGGAAAACATTTGGTTGTGAAACCACTTGACCATCGATCATCGTAGTAAACGAAACTCGAGGATTGAAGGAAATCTGGGTCCTTTCACTTGACTGCCGAACTTCGTCACTGATCAAGACACAGAGGAATACTACTCGCCACACACATCTCAAGCCTTATGAAGTTCAACTGACTCAAGTCGCCATTGTTCCGACTCACTCGTCTGCGACATTATTCTGACTCATCAGCGTGCGCCATAGAACCGGTTTCTCTAATGTCATGTCATATCATAAACTTCGCGGGAGGGACGAGGTGTAGGGGGGCGTCCTCAAATGGAGGGAGCGTGTTGTCCTTCTGAAGGAAACCCCTAGGGTGCAATAAATCCTTAACTGAAAGACAGGCCCAGAAGCTGGTATTCGAAATTATTTCACAGCCTCTTCCATTCCACAATCCTCTTCACCATTCTTTTTTTCCCCCGGGGACAGCCTAATCCAACAGGTTTGTTGGGTTAGGATGGTTCGGTTTGATTTTTTGGTCGTTTGAGTCATGTTACTTTATAGAATGGAAGAAGATACATTTTCGGAGAAACTACTTCAGTGTGATGCAGGGGACAAGAAATGGTGCAATCAAAACGAAACAGCTGCAGTTTGTGGAGGGGAGCAGGACAGCTGGCTTACATGACAACCAGACCATTAAAGTATGGATGAGGTAATAAAGATGTCACGTATGGTCCCAGAACTGTTTTCAAGTACGTTATTAAGTTTTCTACAGTTTTACCGCCTTAACGGAGCCTTCTAGACCTCCGCTTGGAAAGAATGCCACGTTGACTTCAAGAATTCTGAGGGGAAAGCTGGGCTACAACAAAATCTTCAGGAAGGGCGCCTCTTCTTTTGAGTGGAGAGCAAAACTCTGCTAGGGTGGCAACACATTAAAACAAATTATCAAAAACAAATTGTGGAACATGTCGTCCTGTGCTGGATGAGAGAAATTTCGAAAAAAGTGCTACTTCTGATTCGAAATTTTGACATCTTTTGAATTATTGCGGGACCTTTTGTCAAGACCCTCGGACAGTAAATATGAGTGCATACACTTACAAAAATTATGTAGCCCACAATTTCATAAGGTTCCGCGATTTTCTTCGGATTAAAAATTTTTTCACCTTTTTTCATTTACGGCATTAAAATAAGTGAAAACGTTCTACTGTACGTAGGGCCGGAGTTCTCCGCCATCACAGAGTGCTAATAGATTTCCAGACCGTCTAAACTCTAAAATATTGATATTTTGTTGTTCCAGCCAATATTTTTCCTATAGGTTAGATGATGGTTAAAACAACTAAGAAATTTCAATTTTCAGCTGACTTGACAAATGCTTAACACCTTGTGACATAGGTGGAGACCTCCGGACTCAAAAT